GAGGAGAGTACAGGGAGGTTACCCGGACGCCTGAGGAAGCTCGGAGAGGATTGCTTGGTACTTGTGGTGCTATGGAGAGAACGGCTGGACTATTCGCCGGTCGCCTACCAGGAGAAGTGCGGATGGACTCTCCGATCATACGCGTATCACTTGAATATCGTGACAGGAGAGTACGAGAGCTATACCTGGGTCGCTCCTGGAATGGAAAGAACGGCTGGACTATCCGCCGGACGCCTTCCAGGAGAAGTGCTGGTGGACTCTCCGATCATACGCGTATCACTTGAATATTGTGATAGGAGAGTGCGGGATCTATACCTGGGTCGCTCCTGGAATGGAAAGAACGGCTGGACTATCCGCCGGACGCCTTCCAGAAAGTAGAGTACAGGAGGCTCATCGGACGCCTTTCCACAGTAATTGTTATAAATCGTTTTATCCGTTTCGTTAATACTGTAACGGAAGAGTACGGCTGCTTAAAGCCGGACGCCCGAAAGCAAAAGCAACAGCTCGAACACTGCATTGATTTGTTCGAAATTATTTTGTACCAAACATTTAACATGTATCGACGAAAGATAAATAAACCTTTTGTGTGTTTTTTCCCAGATACCAAAGAATATCCTTGCATTCCATAAAATCCTACTACACAATAAATTTTTTGCATAAGCTTGAATTTAAAGACAAACTTTGTGAATTTAATTGAGTTTAAAGAATTTCGCTCGTATTAGATAAGAAAGCGGTAATAATGTTGCAAACAAGTAAGAAAACTTGCCTGTATAACAATCGCGGTTTCCCGCACTTGTCGCGAATAAAAAACAAGGTATTATTTCATAAAGAAAGACGCAGATGTGTGTGTTGTCTGAAAGATTTCATCCTCTAAATTGCACTCGATACGAAATGCTCTTGAGCAATCCGCTCAACGATTTTTCGCACGTACGTGACTACCGAGGAATAAATTGGATTATAGAAAGAGTGGACTGATCCTCTTGTTTCGCATTCAAGAATTTCACGCCTGAAGGAGAAAGTTGCTTTACAGACAAGATTGAAACTTTTTTGTATCTATTTTATATTTTTCATTACAGAATGATTTCTTTTTTTTCTTTCAGAAGATTAATACAATAAAATTAACAATTGTAATACGAATGGACGATTTTGGTATTTTGCAGAAAAAAATTTATCGAATACACTAAAGTGAAAGAGTACTTTTCTTTTGATAACCATTGCGTTAGGTATTCAGCTCGGTAGACTGCACTCCGAGTACACTTTTTCAACGTCAAGGAACTGAATGCCGAACGGAACACCGGTAACAAATGACAGAAAATGAAAAGCGACTATTCTGCTCACGTGCTTCCTACAGTAGCGCTATAATGTATTCAAACTTTGTACCGCGTTTCTGTTTTCATCGAAAATTGTATTCTTCGAAACATATTGTTTCCACATTTGTACAAACAGTATTATATTGTATAAATTGAAAATCAAACAATTAGGTATTTATATTGAAAAGTGTAACAACCATCAACGAGGACGACAAAATTTTTCGTTTCCGCGAGAGGAAGTGAGTCGTCGATTGAATAATCGCGAAGGGGTAGAAGATTCCAAAATAATCTAGCTCGCGATTCGCGGAAATCGCGCTGTTTTGCGCGGTAAACCGCTTAACGACGCGACTTGTTGATAAGCCGCGCTTCATTAGCAACGGCCAAATATAATTATCACGACCGAGAGCGCGGACGAGCATTCTTGCTGTACTCTGCTGAGAGAGAACGAGAAACCAAGAAAATCCATTCGTTCCTATCAAATCCTACTACCGCGATTCGCGGGAATCGCGCTGTTTTGCGCGGTAAACCGCTTAACGTCGCGACTTGTTGATAAGCCGCGCTTCATTAGCAACGGCCAAATATAATTATCACGACCGAGAACGCGGACGAGCATTCTTGCTGTACTCTGCTGGGAGAGAACGAGAAACCAAGAAAATCCATTCGTTCCTATCAAATCCTACTACAAAAGGATTTATCTTCTCCCGTTACCTTTTCTCCATATATAAATAAATAATGTTTACAAAATACAGCAAAGAATTATTTTGTGATTATCGTAAACAATTTTTTCCTTAATAGAATTGGTAATGAAAAATTACATCTTATCTTTATAACAAATATAATTAAATATCTTACTGATGTAAATGAATAAAATTATTAAAATTTTCATACATTTATTCACACACATTAATGGTAACATAATTGAATAATTTTTTGTTACAGATGGTGTAAACGTTGACTAATAAAATTACCCAAAATATAATATGGGGGACGAAATATCGATATTTTTGGTGGTGGTTCTCGCGATTGGAGGTTTAATGATGATGAGCGCACTGCTGGCTTGCTACGCTTGTATCTTTCGAGACTTGTGCTGTAGGCCAGAGGACAGATCGAAAAGGAGGCGTCCTCAGAGTCCCCATCATGAACACGATGACCCTAATAGACCCAGACTGGATGCAATACTCTTAAACGATATTACACAAGGAGAAAGTATGCCTACGGAGTCTGAAAAGGTCTAATTAAAAGGAGCTACACTATTAAATCAATTTGAAGGATTAAAATTTTGGATATGGATAAGTGATGCTAGAAAAGAACTAATTAAACTTGAAATTAGAAATATTAAAGAACGTGTCTTTCATTATTAATGACTGTAAAAACGACGCATAAACGTAAATAGTTGAATTTTTATTTCAAGCTGCTATCTTGTAGATTAATGTATTATGTACATATTCAAATACATGCATACATATATACATACGATGTGTATCATATATATGCAGCAAATTTCATGTAATAAAAAATCTCTGGTAATAATATTTAACATCGTTCTGGTCGTCAATAAACGACAAACCACGTTACGTGGCTATATCTACAACCATATTAGTATATAAAATAAATTTCTATTTGTATTTCTCGTTCAATCATTATGCTACCCGCATTGTATATAACACATACTCCCATCCTTTCTGGTAACTCTACTTGTTGATTGGTCTAAGTACCCGCGAAAAGTTTTTATAGACATTGTTTTGTGCATTCACGAATCGTCTAATAATATATTCGACTAGCTGATTTGGCTATTAAGCTGCTGGAGTACTGACAGTACTACTTCGCGTAATGTCTGAAATGTTTAAAAAATATTTATTAAACGCTACGCATTTGTTTATAGAAAGATATTTGTGATAGTTTGAAGAATGGTTTAGTTACCTGAGGTTTACAGTGTTCCTCTAACCAACTAAACACACATCCAGATAATTCTGCAAAATTTGCTACAGAAATGTTGCTAAAAGTTTGGAACAAACGATCCATAATTGCTTGGAACTATAATAATACATAAGTTATAAAATAAAGCAATTTAAAAGACCATAACTTTGTGAAATAATTACACAATGTGTTTTAATCTTACCACTTGAAACTTAGTTTCATCAGATACACGCATTTCTGCATGCCCTGGTTGAGTTTGATGTGCTTTTACAATTTGCTCATAATTAGCCTGCATAATACGCAGAGCAACAACTTCTTTTCTCAATGCATTACGTTCTTCCTCTTGTTTTTTCTTTTGTTGCAACAAAAACTGTATATAATCAATAGATTTCTGAAGTACAGTAGCCTTGGAAAGTTTGTATCCTGAAGAATCTGTATGTTGGCAAGTGGGAACCAAATCTTGAAGAGAATCATATCCCTTCTTTATGGCATCTCTTCGTTTTTGTTCTGCCTGAGTATGAGCCTCCCTCCTGCGCTCTTTGTAACTTATAGTGGAATTTTTGTTATCACTGTCTTCATCCTCTACAATCAATTTCACAAAATTCTTTTGCAAATGTCAATGTTATTTCTCAAATAAAAAAAAAGGTCACCTATATTATTCTGACAGAATAAATCATTATAAAACTTACTGTACTTATTTAACTCACTTACCTGTATTATGAGCAGATGAAGATGGAGTATTCACTGACCCAGTACTACTACAACGGGAAAATGTATACTTTTCTGTAGGACTAGATGGTTCTAGCTTCATATCACTATCTCCTCCTATATTACCACCACCACCACCACCACAGCGCATTGCTAAATTGGCTATTTTCACAAAATAATAGAATATATAGAACACAGCTTGCAATACTGCATTCTAGTATTTTATACACAACAGAGATAATTAATAGAAATAAGTTATTTTCATTTAAAAATATAAAACGTCAAGTACGAATGATATGAAATACATCAATCTACAATATACATATATATAGTACTAAATAACAACAACAAAAAAATATATGAAACTAGACATAAAATTCAATTCCACTCACATATTTCGTATCCATCTTTGTGCAAGGTATCTGCCATTGTGTCAATGATTTGTTTGTCGAAGATCAAATCAAACAAGAAAAAGAATGTAGTTAAAATGCGCACGTGGAAAGGTTACAACACAGTTGCAACAAGTAAGATGCACTAAAAGTATATCGTAATAAATCACGGTTATCCATAAAGATTTGATTAACAACTCGGCACATTAACAAACACACTAGCTTCGAAATACTTCCTAAATCTATAGGAAACACGATCGCGATGCCATAATAAACATTCCAAAATTATTTCGTAACAACATTAGTTATGTGGATACTGCCATCTTCGACGGAAATGCAACTGTTGAGAATGGTCGACAGTTGGAAGAAACAGGGTCGCCACCTATCGAAACAAAGAGAGTACAAACTGTCAAACGGAGCCACGTGCTCGACTAGCAGACGAAAGTGAAAGTCAAGGTTGCATTAGACCAATCGGAGCAGTTCAATCATCTATTTTCAACCAGAGCAAATTCAAAGTCCTTCTACTTTCTTTTTGTCAATGCAATCGAAATATAGAAAGTATTCAAGAGCACGTTTTATGTTAAATTACGTTTATTATAAGGTGTATCTAATATATATATTTACAATCGCTTTAATACACGTAAAACCATTTAAGATAACTCATATTCTCTTCGGCGGTACGGCGTTTCGGGCCGTAACGCTGGCAATTGTATTCTTATGCACTTTTTCCTTGCATGTGTAAATTTCAAAGTACACGTATGGTATTTCCCTTTGTAATTGCTTATTGTGTACCTGATCCGAAGACCACTTTACCTGCTAGTACACAGATACTGCGAACGAACCATGGTCTTCGGATTTGTAATCATGATGAATGAAAATTGAAAATTATCGTTTCTGTGCCTCGCATTCTTAAAACGCACAGTACTACTAATTAGGAAATTATTCTACTTCTAATTGTGTATTCATTGTTATATTCGATTGTATATCCTTAGTAGATTCATATACGTAGTACACAACGCTACATTTGTATCATTCGGGGACGGATAATGTCGGAAAGCCGATGACTGTAAACTATTTTAAGACAATAAACTGACAACGTGTATCGTCGGAAGTGTAAATATTTCAGTGAGAGTACATAAGGTACATTTAGTTATTGATTCGTAAATACAATTCTCTGAAGACTGTATACAGGATGCTGTTACATTCAGGGGCCTAGATATATTCATGTGAAAGTGAGTCTCGTTACACGGTTTTTCTCCATATTTTCATTCTTTCTTTTTTTTTTTTTGTCGTTTTCTTATTGTTTAATCTGTCAGAACATACCACTATTCGCGATAATAAGCATAAAATGCAAGCATTTCGAAATTTCCGACACGGCGACTTAGTTACGCCCGCCCCCGCAATCCTATTCAACATAACATTAACTAAAATTCACACATCTTTTCTTTTTTATTTCATTTCTTGTTTTTTTTCTTTTTTATCATTTCTTTTGTAGCCAGAAACGCCCCACATGTATTTTATTTGAATAAAGGTCACTTTCCCGCAGTTAAATCGATAAAGCATCACATCGTAAATTCTCATTAAGTTTGAATTTAGTATTTTCAATATATATATCACGCGCACTTATTTCTCTCGCTCAATTTCTCACATACATGCGTGTTCGTGACGTACTCGTTTTCCGTCCGCTCGCTAAGTTCATTTTTCTTTTTTTTTTCTCCTAATTAATTTTCGACATCGATAAAAAATTATATATATTTCGATAATTATTTCATAATTAATTAATTATTATATTTTATTTTTTTTTATTTATATTTATTACTAGAATCATGAATAATAATTAACTCACAATATTTCAAACTACACTTCTTTGAGATTAATTAGGATTGGTGCAAATAATATTAATTAATTGAATCTACACAGACCGATCATCGAGCATCGCGCAGGGTAATCCGTCCGACTTTGAAAGAAATTACGTAAACATTTTCCATCAAGTTTGTTAAATAATCGTTGATTGCTTTCTAATCTTCTTTTTTGTTCCTCTTTTGAAAGAGCATTGCATGGAATTCGTAATTTTGTTTTTAATCAATGTCATTGATAAATTAGAAAATTGGTATTTCGAGAACGTTTTAAAAACAATCTGGTAATAATTTTCCTATAAATAATTGATCCTATAAATAATTTCCTAGCGCTATTAATATTGCAATATACGCCATCCAGCGAAAAAGATCGCACATTTAAAGGATGGCGTGTAAAAAAGAAAATAACACCCATTAAGGTATTTCAGCATATTTTCGCTCACATTTTCAATTCACTTTCTCCCCGACTTTGCATTTTTTAAGGCTCACAAAACTTTATATCATTATAAGTGTTTTGATTTCATCTAGGTGAGCTGCTCTATTAAATTAAATTTTTAATTACAAATTCATTCGTGAATAACCAGGAAAAAATATATCAATATATCACATGTCATTATGCAAAAACAATTCAGTTTTCAAAGCCTTTGACTTTCACTATTCATTTTGTGGCTTAAACTGATAATGTAACATAAATGGTATACACAAACCATTTTATACAGAAATTATTTTTTTCTTTTTTTTTCTGTTTTTTCTTGTTTAATTGAGCAGACTTAGATAAATTAGGAAATTGATATGAATATTGATGAACTTGGAGTACCTGCGCGAACCAGTCCCACTCAGTCCTCTCAGGTACTTATTCATTGATACTGCAAAATAAAATTTGCTAGAATCATGTCTAATGTCCACTCGAAATTTTATATAAAATTTCTACAAAGACAAGAATATCCTCCTGCCTACGTGAAACAAAATTCATCGCGTAAAATGATTTTTCTTTAATTAAGAAATATAACAAACAGCAAATTACCAAACACCAACAAACACCAAACACGTATTTTCGCGACTTAAATAGAACGAATCTTTTTCCTCATTTAACTACCAAATTTTGCAGTTGTGTATTTGTTTCTGTATTGTCTATTAAGTATTTAATTAAGTTATTAAGGACAAAATATTACGGCAAAAAAATGTTACAAACGTTTAGTGAGAAAATGGTAAATCAGTGCATCGTTTATGTTCAAGGAATACAGAAGGTGAATTCTTGTTCATCACCCTTATGACATTTAATCTGCTCTATTAGCGTGATATTGTTGTAAAATAAACATTTCATACAAAATTCATTCCTTCCGTTCTCCTTGTGTATACCATCACGACAATAATAATAATTAAAAGGGTCTGAAAAAAGTAGCTCTTTTTGTTGCTTTACGAACGACACGAATGATCAGCTATCATTTAGAATATTTGTAGATGTCACTGTGTATGACAAATCCGTCCGTAATAAAATAGGAAAATCAATCGCGTCAATTCCCTTCGCGCGGTAACCAACATGGCTAGAATTTTTCAAAACGAGGTTCGTTGCGCGAAATGCAGGACGTTCAGGAAAGAATTTTGTACTTTTCTAAGATCATTCGCTCGCTGGCGTAAAGGAACACGATACTTCAAATAGAAAGACCTCTTTCAAGAACCCAGTAAAGATGTTAGACAGATATTTTTGTACCATGATCAGAATCGATTTATATCTTCGAGCGTTTAACCTGACGTGACTTGGCAGTACGACGAGGTTTCTTTCCGGAGTCGCTCGGTGCTTCCTCTGCGTTCGATTTCCGTTTTGAAGATAATGAAGGCACAGGAGCCTTTGGAGGTGCCATTTCCACTATCGGTGGTGGCGGCGATGAAGGCTGTTGTGTAATTATTGGTTGTGGAGCTACTTCGGTAGGACTCTGCGCGTCCGCTATAGGAATGAAGTCCAATCCTTCATCAATCGTTTCTGGCATTATACCTTGATTCGTTAGAGGCTGTAGATCTTCCGTTGGTACCAACATAGATTGACCACAGACTACACACACTGGTATCGCCGGAGATTTAGATCGCCAATACTGAAGCTCTGTTTTACACTTGTTCAATTCCTACGCAATACATAACCATAATTTAGTAAATTACGAACTATCAAAGAAATTACAACCTACACTTACAATCTAAACACATTTAATTTGTATTTTTAACCAAGTAGGTATGTACTTTTTGTGACAGATTATTTTTACGAGTACTAAGTGTACCTTAGTAAATACCTGTAGGAGTGTGCTAAATTTACGAGAAGTCTCCTCGTTCTTCTTGTCGTTCTCATCAAGACGAGTAGCATATTCAACAATCTGTTTCTGTTGTTCTGCTATCTTGGTTTTGCAACTCCTCAAATCTCTACGCATTAACGTTAACTGACTATTATATCGCTTCATGCCTTGCTTAATTTTACGAATTCGTTTCCGTAACACCATATTTGATTGTGGCGGTGACACAGTGGATTCCAAGAGACCAGGATCTTCCGACGAATGAGGTGGGGACCCTTCTTCTCCACTATTGCTTCCTGATTTACCACTTCCAACAGTTAAGGGTGTAGAATCCAGGCACATGAATGGCTTGCTCACATTACTAGAAGCTACGATATTTAAGTAAAAAAGATACAGATGTTATAAAATAATACGAATTAAGTTAGTTCTCAAGAATTCAAGAAATTACAGATTTTTACTCACAGGAGAATGTCCCAGCAAGATCTAGGAAATCAGCTCCAAAATAAGGTATTTCTGGTAATGTTGGTTCAATACGTTCCTTAAAGTACTCCATAGCCATAGTACTTAAATCAAATAATTCATCTGTAACTTTGTATGGTCTGGCTAATTTTGGAGTTACTTTTATATAATGCAAAATACGATAAACCTCATCTAAAATCTGAAATATAATTAGAAATTGGAACTCTCGTATATATTTGTAAATTATATACTTTTAACCTTGTAACCTATAAGAGAAACATCATTTACCTCTCCAGGAAAAAAACAACAATGTTTACGCTCAATATGTTTGCCAAAACTCATCTGAAGCAATGTAAGACGCATATGAAGGGTTTCAATGATATCTGATTCACAAGCTAATGGATGATTTCTACGTGCAGATTCACGTCTTGGCATCTGTGCTTTGATTGCCTGAAAACGACTCAACATTTGTGCTTGAAGCTTCTGAAATGTAGAATTTAAAATTGATCCACAAACATGATCCATCTGGTGACATACCTACAAAAAATAAACAAAGCTTAAATACATACATTTTATAAACATTCAATAAGGATTGTGATCATTTTAAGTAATTTTTAAGATTGTGCAAATATTTCATCCTATAATTTTCACTTACTGGACGTAAATGAGCCACTGTATTATAATCCAAATAGCTAAAAATCTTTTCAAGAATTTCAACTGGTAAGTTAAGGAGGTTCAAATTACTATAAGGAGGTGGATCCGAAACGGATGCTCCATTATAAGAGCTGGCCATTGCTACAGACTGATGTCTTCTGGATGAACTCACATCTGTAACTTCAGCAACTGGCCCACTCCCATTACTTCCTCCCATACTACTTGACTGACGAGTCGATACCATATTTTTAGTACTTTAGATGATCAGCTTCACCAAAAACCTAAAAGCATAATACATTACACATGAAGGTAATTTGGTTCATTGGTATGTTCATTAAATATTAAGTACTAATCATCAAAACATGAAAGAATGAAGAGAAGAAAATTGTTTATTTAAATTCAATCATATACAAAATATATTTAATTCATAATATAATAAAAAGCAAAATAATATTGCAATATTGTTATACACCTGTTAACAGTGAACTGTCACCAAGCAAATGATCAACTTTAAAAAACTATTACACAATTAATGTAATAATATGACTCATCAAAATTATAATTTTGTACAAATGCATACAGGAATTCTTAGAGAATAAAAAAATACCAAAGAACTTTCCATGCAGTTGCATTAATAAATAAAGGATTAAAACGTTTGCTCTAACATTTATTTATTTTCAGAGTCTATTTGTACAATTTTTTATGTATTAGTCAAAAATTGTTGGATCGAAGTATAAAAAACGCAATAAAAGAACGAAAAAGCGAAATTCATTGATGGTAAGTGCGACGAAATTTCCTACTAACGTATATTGCATCGTTTTAAAATACGTTCTTAAAAACAAATCACCAACGAAAAGTGTGTTAAAAGAAACTCGTGAGGTTTCGTCATAACGAAATATCGACAGAATACCGACAGAAAACAAATTCACAATGTAACCTACGAAAACCTTCGACAATGTCTGCGTACGTATCGGTTATTCCCGTCAGCTCTCAAAAAGTGAAAAAACAACGAATGTTAACAGCCGATACAAACCAAAAATTAATAAAGAGGCTGACGCAAAACGGAAGGTAGAATTTCCGACAGTTGACCGAAAGCTTGAACGAAAGAAATCAAATTGACAAATTTAAAAAACGTCTAGACGATGTGCGACTAACGACTAGTTAGACAACGACGAATACCTGGTGCATTGGCAGTGCAAGTGCGATCATCGAATACTTTAGTCTATGATGTACAATAACCAAGAAGCGAAAAATACAAAGAATATAAGCAGATGGACATAAATACGAGGTATCTTTACCCGCCACTGTAACGAGATGGCCGTGGTGTGTTATACACATAGTCACGGCAAAGTTATACAAAGTCCGATGGAAACAAACAGAGGGAAACCGGGTGACCGTGCGCAATCAATGTACCTATGACTTTTCTCTCTTTAAATAAAATGTTCGAAGAAGCTGCGTACATTTCCATACGTAAAGTAACGAGAAGGATCGTTGTGAGAATATTAAGAAAAAGAAGTGCGAGGAAGTCGAGAAAGCTCACATACCCCCTGCTAAATGACGAAAAGCAATCACTGTATCCGCATTGGTGTTTTCAGCGACATTTTGACGGAGTCCCTTCCTTCTCCTGACGACCCCTGCTCAACGCTCTCGTTCTCACTCCGTTTCACTACCGAAGCTTCTCTTGTTTCGTCTCGAGTAGCCTTATCGCTCTCGTTCGTGGCTACTTTTCTGTCTTTCTCTTTTCCTCTTATGTGTAATATACTCGTGTAACTATGGCGCACTCACACGCGTAAATCGTACCCGGAAAAAAGCCCGCGCGTGCAGCGACCGAGAAATGCTTCTTTTTCGTTACCTATCTCAAGACCTGTTTCTTTCCCCTTCAGAAAATCACCGTCGAGTGCATCGGCTTCGAATCTATAAATACCAGAATAAAGGATAACGATGTCACTATCTTACGAAGCTGTTTCGCTCGCAAACAGGGTACAGTTGCAAGAAAAATTTATTCTTTACTTTTTTCAGTGTGTCTTTCGCTTTTATCAGCAAATCGGTTCGCTACAGTCAAGATCGGCGCACAATCAACGCCGACGTCGACGATGACGATTATCGCGACGACGACGGCGACGAAATGTATATGTGTGAATCTGTAGTATCGTCACTTCGTTCGACGGTTGTGCTCACATTCCGTGAAAACGTACCCACCGACTCACGAACGGTTCTCGATTGGTTGACTCGTAGGCCAGTTCGCAACGCGCGCTATTCCGACATTTTAACGGCTATTCCACAATCTGTGTAGGCAGAATGCATCTCTGAGCTCTAAACATGAATGTCCATTACTACAGTAGCACAGGAGAGAAACTCGTAAAAATTTTGGTCTTCGAACTTGTGCCAGCGACATCTATAGGTTACGCTAATCAATCAAAAGAGCGTAGAATTTAAATCGAAGAACAGTATAACGGTTTTATACGTTGCTTTACAATAACGTTAGACGAAAAAAGTAAGTATCGTTAGAAATGAACTGTTGTTTGTAAATTAAACAGTGTAAATGACAATGTCTGTTATTTTTTTTACAGAAATGCATATAATTCAGTTAAATTCAAATCTATGTGATGTTATCAGTGTATCGAATTACACGTTATTATCGGAAGATTTTTAAGAAGACTAAGGAATGTATTTATTTATTTATTGTGTTAATTTGAATGTAATAAATTTCAAATAAAACTTATCATTATGTACTTTAGAAAATCTATAGTATACTCAAAGAAACTCCTGCTACTAATTTCCAAGATATAACCTACATTATTTATCAAACGTCCATTTATGAATGTCATGCAAAATTATCACAAAATTAAAAAGACAATTCAAGATACATTCGTAAACACGATTAAATGATTTGATTTTTTACTTAAATATCTTGTTAGAAATTCGAAACATAAGAAATTTTAAATGTATTTCTAATAATAATACGTGCTACAAAAACGTCTTGACGACAATCGTAACACTTTTTTAACGCGTTCAAATATATAATATGTCAAGGATATAAAGATATCCCCGATCTAGTTACACGAAAAGGACAAGATCACGAATATCTTTATTTTTTACGTTACTAAAACAATACGATAATAATATCAGATTTATTTGAAATAAGATATTTAAGTATACGAGATTTTCATATAACAATTACTAATTAAATATCATTTTTATTACCATTTAGTTTTTGTTACCATTTTTAAATAACTTTCTAAATGTACTTTTACTACAATAAGCAAAATTATATAATCAATTTAGATTTGTAACAATACACTTTCATTTATTTACACTTACAGCTAACATAGAAAGTTTTCTTACAATATGCAGTTTAACATTTCGTTTCCTGCTCGATGATTGCTTCAATCGTTTTATTTAATCTTCGTGCATTTTATGCAGCAATAGAGAGGATAAATAATCAACATTTTTATAACCTTCCAAAAAATGATGCGTTTTCAGAAGAAGTGGAAATATTTCCACATTTCTCACGTTTATTCAAACTCGTGAATCAACGAGTGCTTGTTGTCGTTTTACGAAATGCTCTTTTGGCTAAACGCTATTCCGGGCAGTAGGTCGCGCAATAAAATTTGAAAATTATCAAAACGTCCGAAAATATAAATCGCGTCAGACCCGTTCCTGTCATTCCAAAATGATTATCTTGTTGACCTTTCGCGAAGGAATTCGCCTTTGCCCTTGCCTCCTTCCCGAATAAATGCCCAAAAAAGATTATTTCCCCACGGCATTGCGATTTGTGTGTGTAAGTGTTGCATAATGCTTATGAAATCAGGTCTAAGAAACTAGCGGCGGTTTTCTTGAAACTTTTATTCCGAAACGTATCAAACGACGGCGACCTTCATATACATATTTATAATAATAAATATTTCGAAGGTTCGTTGAAGGAGCTGCCTCTATCGTCGATATTTCACACTACTTACTGGAAATCAAATTCTACGCCCTATATACATTTTAATAATTACTTTTAAGCATTCTTCTAACCTAACCTATTTACGTCTAGTAGTTTTTCGGCAAGATTTTTTTGCAGTAATAGTAACGTTGAAAATTGATTCAGGTTTATCGAATATTTGTCTAATTGTATTTAATATGCAGCGAATTGATAAATGAGAGATAATTTATGATATTTAGACGGAAGATTTGAAAGAATTTGGAAGTTTTTCGGTTAGCATGAGACGATTGGGGAAAGCCGCGAGCGGAAGCAATCTCACCAAACGGAAGCTGACACATTTAAAACACAGTAATGGGTTCTTACGAACGCCAAAGTACCGCAAGCTGTGGCTCACGTACCACAAACGTCTTCACCAGGGCTATTCTTTCGGTCGCGATAGACGGAAGGTAGTTTCATTATTTGATAATTTTTTTTATTATCAGTACAATGAGTTTCCATTCAAAAGTAAGAAGATAAACTTGACCAAATGATAATTCTTAAATTTACAGTGTTGTAATATCGAGATTTATTCAGAAATTTGGTTCACTTGAAAGCGAGGTTATTTCTAGCGGCAGCATTATCTAGAATTCATTGTTGTGTAAAAATTTTACATACAGTAGACGAAACATCTGAAGTGATAAATTAAATGCAACCGTAAAGTTGCGTATAAATTTCAACAGATTAGAGCGTATGAATTTACTTCATATCGATACGTATTCAATTTCAAACGCTGATGTCATATATGGTAGATACAGAAAGTATTTTAACTCATCCTTATCTCTCCATACAATATTCTTTTCTCCCTCTCGTATCCAATCTTTTTAATAGAATTAAATCATTCTCTAAGTGGTGAGAAAGGGTAAAATATAACTAATCACTGTGGTTAAATCAGAACACTGAATTAAATTAAATTAAAAACCCATGGTTAAATCTAACTACCAATATACGTGTAAATACCAAACTAAAATACTAAAATAACTAAAAATCAAACTACAATACCAAACTAAAACTATCCATTTTTTCTACAATTTCATAATTGTACACAATTGTCATAATTTAGTCTCTAATTAACACTGTGTTTCTGTATATGTTACTAAAACACTAAAATACCTAAAAAACTAAACAATAATCAAACTAAACCTATCCATTTTTTCTACAATTCCATAATTATACACAATAGTCATAATTTGCATAATTAAATCTCTGATTAACACTGCGTTTCTGTACATGTTACTAAAACCCTAAAATACCTAAAAAACTAAAAAATAATCAAACTAAAACTATCCATTTTTTCTACAATTCCATAATTACACACGATAGTCATAACTCTTATAATTCAATCTCCGATTGAATCTACGTTTCCCTGCAGTTCACGAGAGAGGCAATAAACAACGAAGTCATTGAACCATCTTGCGACAACGTGTGTTGTCGAGCTTTCTGAAACCGTACTCGTATCAATTTCTCGATGTGCCAGTTTTAAGATACAAAGTCAGGGCCAGTGTGATTCATCGGAAATCACCTTCTTTCTCCCTTTTTCTTCTTTTTCTTTTTTCTCTCCCCTTCCCGGACTTTCTCGATATCGCGTTCACCTGGCCATTGTGCAGCGGCGTCTTCATCTCTCGGCCGCTATTAAATTTGTGCAGAGTCGGTAGGCCTCCGCGAAATAAAAGTGGTGGACTCTTATTTAACATAGCCGACAAGCCGGCAGTTGCTCAGTCGACCACCGACCGTAACAGAGCATTCGCATTTCTAAGTTAACATATCGGTGAACCGGCGGGGAACTTGGACGTCGGCTAAAAGGAACACTTCCACTTTGCCGTGAAAAGTGACAGTTGCCTTCGTCATGGCTTTCTTGATCTTCACGCTAGGACTGATTTTTTCACCGAGTGAGTCCCTTTTCTTTCCCCCTTTTCTCTCTCTCTCTCTCTCTTTCGTGGCTTTCTCTAGATTTTTTTGTTCTCTTCGTCGCCGTGTCAGTGTCCCTTTTCTTATCCTTTTCTTCTTCCTCTCTCTCACCGTCGTCGTAGTTTTCTTGATCTTCACGCTGGGACTGATTTTCTTTTTTTCTTTTTTACCGAGTGAGCCCCTTTTCTTTCTTCTTTTCTCTCCTTTTTCTCTTCTAGCCTGGTGACGCACGAAAAGAACGTTAGGCATTTTTGTGATTCACTGGGAAAGAAGTGTTTCCGTTTGGAATATTAAACGATAGATTCTTCCGGGATGAGCCTTTCCATTTGTGTGATTAGAGAATTTTTAGAAATTTCAAATTTTTCGAGATTCAAGAATAACATTCTTACACAAACATATTTCTTCGCTGAAGTTAGAATAAAATAGTACTATTCTTACGAACTTATTCGGTAGATGGATACTCTATTAAATCAAATTCACAGAGACACTATGCCACATTTTATTTGATAATTGTATCAATGCTCAAAGCGAACACTTGAAAGAGCGCAAGATAAGAAACCTAGCTGCGATTGACCACGTATTTACAAAGTGTATTACTTTTTTGTGTTTCTACATTTTCTCTAATCGACAAATACGAATATTTCGTGTGTATCATTTTACATTTTTACCTCAACTTCGGAATGAACCGAGTTAAAAAAAAAAAAAAAACATGCTGCACGAGGAACACAGCTATTTCAATTCGCCGTGTGTTTCGATATCCGGCCACGACCGTTCTTCCTATAATTAATTACACTTACCATTAATATCACGAAACTGTTTAAGATTCACAAGATTCCCGCTGCATGTACAACTCTGTCACTCGTGTTGCATATAATAACGACGGTATGAAAACGATAATTAGAGTACGCCTGTCTCGAAAGATTCCCACCTGGGCGATAAAAGAATTCGTTTCGAATAGATAAATCGCGTTGCATAAAATTTGAGAAAAGAAGGGAAAGCTAAAATACCGGACAGCCTGTAACATCCCCCGTTCTTCGATTCATAAAATGTAAACGAAATCGCGAACTGTGCTCGCATAATTTACGACCGCTGCTTTCCACGTTTATTTTCATTAGAACGCCATCGACCAAACTCTCTCGTTTCATCCCTGCGGAATTTATCGTTTTTACACGTTTCATTCGTTCTTTCCTTTTTTTTCTCCTCTCGATGAACGACATTTATATACCAATCTGACGTGAAAACTTCTTCGCACGAGAGAAGAAAAAAAAGCAGATTTTTCTTGGAAATTCCTCGGTTCCGTACAAAATTTTCGTAACCTAACCTAACTATCGAATTCGTAGATTCGATGAATTTTAGTCTGGAAACAAAGTTGCGTTGCATAACTATTTTCTACACGCGTGTAAGTGAACGTGAAACAGTTGGAGTGTCATCTTGATATCATTTAATGACACTCTTAATAAATATTATCGCGATATAAACATCGGAGTTTCGCGAACCGAGAGCGGAGAGGAGAGAGAATTGTCGCGAGAGTTCGTGAACGGGCGGGCGGCGGACCGAAAATTTGTCTTTTCCCTATTGTTCGGAAAAATAGGCCAATCGTAGGCAATCTAGTGATTAGAATAAGATGAGATAATACGATGTTCCTTGAGCGAGCTTAAGGTTAATTAGCGCAATTTATCGTTTAAGAAATCGAAATTGTCAACTACCGTTTTTTTGTCGGATTCCGCACAGGTCGTCGTGGATTCGTCGAATTCGATCTTTCTAACATCGATACAATTTTTTCGACGACGAAAACGCTTCGACGATTTTACAATGAAATTACTCTTACTGTTATTGTCACGTGTAGATGAAAAATGACGCCGCGCGTCGTTTCTATAATAGCTCCCGTGTGCAAGAAGAAAAAAAAAGAAAGAAAGAAAGAAAGAAGAGTTGACACGTTAATGGGAAACTTTGAAAAATCGAAAAGGTGAAAAGTTGCATTTGTCACTGCGGGTTTTCTGGAACGGAATTGCCCCGAGTAATTTCGTCTAAACGATTTCAATCGTAGATAGTGCAACAATCAAGTGACGTAAGAAATTGTTGAACGAGCGTTCTATCGTAAAGTTTTAGCTTCCTAAATCTCTCGTGTTCCCACCTAGTGTTTTCGATTCAGTGATAAATTACACAGCGATACAAGATCGTAATCTTTCAATCTTTCGTTTCACTTACGTCAGACAGCTTCGTGTATATTTAAACAAAAAAAGAAAAAAGAATAACGTAAAGTGTAAATTCGCGAAGAGACGTCCTCTTCGATATTTTGACAAAGAGAGGATTCACCTATTATTAGAACACTAGCCGACTTTCATTCAAAGCGACACACTCATTCGTAAAAAAAGATACCAATAAAATAACCACTTTCTATAAAGTGAGTCGAGGAAAAAGTTCCTTTAGATTATCGTACTTTAATTCGAAGAGTGTTTCGCCTGATTTGCATCTTTACCATTTTCTAGAATAAATTAGTCGATGAAGATACATGTGAATTAAAGAATTTTTGAAAATTTCATTTGTAGAAATTTCAGAGTACAGTGAACCTTCGAAATCTGGAATAATAATATTGAAGCAGAAACGTTTCTATCGCCTTTATCACTGATTTTCAATAGAAATTATTGTTTCAATACTTTTTAAAACAAATTAACAAAGTTAAAAAAGTAACAGAGAAAAATATTATTTTTTTTTGTAAATCGGTCAAAAGTGTACACTTTTCTGTCCTATCGGCGTAGAAATATATATTTTTTTATGTACTACAGAATTTTAGTAATTAGTTTATGTATGTCGTGAGATAAAACATGTTAAAAATATGCAAATATAAAAATAATAAATACTGAAATAAAGCGCGCGAAAAGGAAGCTTTACAACACGCTAACCTAACCTCTAATGGGAAAAAGAAAGGGAATAAAAATAGAAAATAAGATAGCGATAATGCAGGGAGTAATTATTCAATGATTAAGAAAGAAAAATATTTGACGAAAAGTAACACGTAATTTTGTGATCGACGAAGAAAACGGGAAAAATCGTTGTGTATGTTGTCCAACTTCCATTACAACAAAAAGTACATAGCCCGGAACGATATGTAATGCCCATAAACACAGCCGATATCACCGGTGTGTTTTTACACAATTTCTCACATATAACGTGTTGCACAATCTGGCGGGGAAAAACAGAAAATCACCGGAAAATCAAGGCGTGTACATCGGGGGGACCGGTTAATCAAATTTACCTATTGAATTAATTCGCGTTTGAATTGATGCTAGGAAGGATAAGCACGAGAGATATTCAGATAAACGCTGATTTTTCCATTCTTCCAGTCAACTACTGCATTTCATTTTCACAATCTTAATTCCTTGTAATTAGATTGAACATACATTAGATCGTTAAAGACTCGATAATCGCAACAAAATAACAAGGATAATGTTAATGTTTCTCATAAACACTTTAAAAAAAATTAGAGAAAAAACGACAATGAACATGTTTTTGCACTTTTTCGTTAAATTTACTAGTATAATATGGGATAAAAATAAATCAATGATCGACGTAATTACTTACCAGCTAGAAACAGTCCGGTTTAGAAAAGGTCACTATTCTTATTAGTAATAAATAACTCGAGCAAAATATTGAATTTATTACTCTATGAATTTTTTATTTTGTGTCATATTATAAACTTGTATATTTCTTTTTTACTTCGTGTGATTATTACGATTTTTTACTAAAACTTAGAAAATAAATTGTATATAACATCGTGATAAAAAAGAATTTTCTATTTTATTCACGAGGTATGTTGACAAGGTTCGCTGGAAAATCCGTAGACATCTTGTAAGCAAGGTTATGATTTAACTGTGAATCACGCGAGATTTTCGCGCTCAAGTACATACATATGTATACACAAGAAGGCACGCTCAATAGTGCACATTTCGATACTGTCAGGGTCTCTCTATACCGATCCATTCGTAGAAACGAATGTTACAAACTTTTTACTTACAGACTTGAATAACAAAGTTACAATGAAGTCTAAAAGGACACGTGTACGTGATTTTTAGTACGCAATAATCGGTGCTTGCTTGAAAATATACATACCTTTTCACGGTACTGGTGTTAATAGCTGCTATATGAACGAATGTAATACGACACTATCCATTGTAAACGATAAGTGAAATTCTAGATCGAGTGGAACAATGAAAACGATTGCAGTCGAGAAACCTGTACAGCGGTTTCGAAATCTTTCATCCCTGTACTCGTTCGGATTGAGTAATTAAGGTCGGAGTAAACTTCGAGAAGTCCAGTAAATTCGCAATATTCACGGTTACTTCAATCAATAAAGTGCAAATTAAGAAGAAGGATATTAAAATATTGATTTTTATCAATCAGTATCAGTATTTTCTAACTAATGTAAAAGCAAACGAAATGAAAAATGACACGAATTTCCTTCAAATTACTGACTTAATCTAAGTGCAAACAAGTGGACGAATACATTTTCTAGATACAATTAAAAATACTCTGTCGAAGAATTAGCAAAAAAGCGTTAAATACAATGGAAACAGAAACAGTGCATTATTATGCACAAGTCAAATTGACTGTATTTATCTAATCTATTTGTTATTCTTATATTTGCATAAGATAAAAAGAACCAACACCGTATTTGCTGAAATTAAACAGAACAAACATAATATAATACTGCACGAACTTGGATCTTTCAATAAAATCAATAATTTTCACTTGGAAAAATGAACTAAATCAAAATTATCAAATTTAATGAAACCTTGATTTTCAATGGAACGGTGTACCACTTCTGTCCTTTCCACTTCACGTTTATTTACTATTCAAAGTACATCGACGCAAAGTTCGATCGTTTAACGTCACAGCATCTTATGCAACTATATTAATGCACCTAAGGCTGTCCATTCAACTTTTTCACTATCTGAAGAAAAATAAGGTTCCCGGAATAAAAGCGCGAGATTGCTTCACATATAATACACGTGCTTCCGTTTTCATCGATAATCGTTAGCGAATAGGTTAGGTTTTACGAGTAACCGATGAACTATTTCACATGTCGAAAAGACAGATGTCGTGACATCAGATGTTTCTCGGCTATGTTCACTTAAATTACTTTATAGTCCTCGAAATGTCGGTGAAAGGACCTCCTACTTGGTTTTGACTGTCTGCTGCCTGGAAACAATGTCGATCCTAAGTAAATCATCGTCGTTGTCGTGGTCGTCTTCTTCGTCATACGACGCACGTGTCGAGCATATGCGTAGGATCTCGAAGTATAGTCAGTGTACAGCGATTTATGTACATATCTCTCGTAGAGCGAGCAAGGGCTGACTCATTAACCGGTAAACGAAAAATGTAACTGTGCCTAAGGAAGCAGCCTATTTTGCTTTCCACCAGGAACTACGAATTTATCGCTCGAATTATGAATAATCCATGTATACATAGATACGTACTTAAGCGATTTCCACGGTTAACTATGTTATTCCGATAATATGTAACACTCTTTGTGGAAAAGTTCATAGAAAAGTTTCGACGTATTTTTGTTTTTTTTTTTCATTTTTAGATAATACGTTTTGCTTTTGAATAGATCTACAATTTATGGTTCTATTATACAATAATGGTACTATAATTTATGCGATACCGACGGCTGTTTTAAGAGTAAATTCTAATGTAGCGTATTGTTTTAGAGGTGTCTTTATAAAGAAGCTTTAATATTTTCGTTTCACTTACTTCTTGTAACCGTTATCTTCTTAAATGGTCGAGCTTATCTCACCTGATATAATAGTAGTAATTTTCAAGAGTATTATGAACAATGTGTAAAGCATCGTTTTATGCGAATACTGGTAGTAATTGTAATTGACTGTGTTTATCCAATAATGCGGAAAAACTTTGATGTTTTTTCCCGCTTTAATACTTACCATTATTCTTTTATTCCTGTAATATTTCACTTTAATAATGTTAATTAAAGGAAAATACTACAATTACTCTTATTTATTGACAGACAGATTAATACATTTCTCTTTTAATTTCTACTACGACTTAACCTAAAAGATAATCGATTTATTTATAAATTATTCTTCATTTTTCTTTGGTTTTTTAACAAAAGTACTTCCTACAGGTAATTTTAGTTTATCGAATGGTCAAGTCGATCTTATCTGGCAATAATAATTATTCTAAGAGTACATCTTGACGATAAAAAGTACGATCGCAAAATTGTCCGTATAAAAGGTTACCATAGATAAAAGCGTAGTGTCCTTCGATGCATACGTTGAACAAGTTTACATTTTATTATTCAACAGCACGTCAGCTGAACATGTACCATCCAAAGCATTCGATGTCAGAGTACGTAACGGTATAATCATTGCAATCGAATTCGTAGGAACGAATCGATATTATATTCGTTAGCTGAACGAACGGTCTCCGCTTCGCGGGAACATGTAGCCGAATGAAGGAGGCTAGAATAATTCATCTGTGACGAGTCGAATGCAAGAACAGAGAAGCCCACCTTGTAAATCTTTCGTGAATCGACTTTCACTGGAGAGTCAAGAGGTTCCCATGGAAGTGTGAAAACCACGAACAGATCAGCCTAACCCAGATCGTTCTATTTTACCAATTCGACTAAAATATCGCATGCATTATTCATGCAATTTAATCGTAATTTTATACTCCATTTTAATTCGATTGTCACTTGACTTAACAAACGAGAGCACCATCGAGACACGATCCTTGATAATTTCTACTGTTTGCTTTTCGTGATTTTCACGAGTGACCCTGTGATTCAGGTTTCGCAACGATAATAATTCTCTCATAATTCTTGGCTAATTACGACCGGCTAATTAAAAAGCGGAATCTGATCAAACGGAAATTTTTATATAATATGCAAAGCGAACGATTTTATGAATTAGCGTATTCGTTTCTGTTCCAGAATTGGTCGCTGGTAATTTCAGTTACGATGGCAGTCATGGTGAGTTAATTACGTATTACAGATTATATGTCTATTAAATATTTTCAGACGTACTTCGGGATAATTTGTGTTCGAACTCTCAGAACTTGTTTGTTATGCTTTTCTTTTCCTAACGGCATTAAATCTCGTAT